CTCAAACATGCCGTCAATGACCCTCTTGACAAAGGCGATCTCGTCGGCGTTGTGGAGGGTCGCCAGCTGGGTCATGGGATCCGAGGTGGTGTTGACGAGGGCGTAGACACGCTCCTTGCGGGTCTGGTGCTTGGCGTTCCGGACTTCATAGTCAAAGTGTGCCACGACCTCTTGCGCGGCGGCGATGTAGGCGGCAAAGTCTTCCTGGGTGACCGAGTCGGGGCTGACTCTCTGTGGCTGTTCCTCCTCGGCCTCCTTTTGTGCTGTCATGATGGCGGCAATGATAGGCTTGGCCTCGCGGTAGGTGATGCTGCCGCGGGCCATCAGAGCTTGGAGGAAGGCCCTATTGCCGTCATTGTAGCCGCGGGGTACTAAATGCTCCATTTTCGAGTCCGAACTTTGCCAGTGATCATGAGAAAGTCGCCAATGTTCTGCCAAATGGAATGGTTATAGTAGTGAGCCGTTGGACTATCATGTGACTGTTCCGGCGCCGTTTGAGGTTGCTGCGGGAGACGCGCCGAGGGGTCGTCAAAGACGCGTAAATGGATTTTCAGCACAAATTCTGCATAGGCATGCATAACTAAATTGATTGCATGAATGAGTTTCGGCAGGGTCTCCACTTTGGCGGGGGAGCACCGGATCGCGTAGACCGGAACTAACTACCGGGACTAGCCGGGATCCAGCAGAAGACCAACCCAGCGCCACAGCCCGATGCCCCTCGATCGCTGGGCCCAAGCTCGCGCCACCTGTGGCAGTGCAGGCCTATGACGACGTCTAGGCCCCGTGGATTCCCTCCCGTTTCCCATTACAACCAGTCACTGCCAGGTTCCATGTGAGCTTGTGAAACAAGGTGGCAGCGGGACAGCACAGCGCATAGCCAGCGCCAGCGCCAGCGCCAGCAAGTTCCCAGTCCAGTCCAGTCTGGTCTGGGGGGGCAAGGCGAAGGCCTCCCAAAGCATGGACAGCCGCACTGCCCTTTTTACCTTTCTTCCTTGACAATAAAACAAGAGACGCATTCTGTGTCAATTTCTCGTGTTCCTTTATTCCTGTTTCCTACTTCAAAAGTCACTTCTGGCCCAAGCAAACACCTACGACACCTATCCACGTCATATTGAAGCTTGACTTGTGACAACATACTTTGAAGCTTTCCTGCCAAGGAAGGCGACCATATCGTCATCATGCTCGAGTATTTTACGTACAAGAAGGTAAAGAAGGTGCGCAACGAAAAGGCACAACGAGAGCGCCTGGAAAACGAGGCCAGAGACTCGGCAGCCACATCGCCTGCGCCGCAGAAGACGCCCGCAGCGCCCGTCGTCATCTCCAAGCCCGAGGAGCCCTACGGCGATCCCCTGCTCGACCAGGACGACGAGAAGTGGCTGGAGCGCATCGTCTCGCCCGACGCTGGCTACGACGACAACGATGATGTAGCGTCCCGGCCGCCTCTGCCTCCAAGAATCCCCACGCCCATCTGGGACACGGACGACGAGAGCGCCACCAGCCAGCAGGCGCCCGTCCAGGGCAAGGGCAAGGGCAAGGAGGTCGACGTCGGCAGCGGCGACAAGCCGGGCAACAAGCGCCTCTCCGTCATCGCCAACATCGGCCGCACCATCTCGATGCGCCGGAAGCCGACCGAGAAGAGCGGGCTGCAGCCCCAGCTCGAGGTGCCCGCCCGCGAGGTCGTCCGCGAGGTGACCGATATCAACAAGGTCCTCGACGACCTGAACCTGTCGGCCCAGAACAATAAGGTCTTCTCGCTCTCGGCCGAGTCCACCGAAATGGTCCGCAAGTTCAACCTCGTGCTCAAGGACATCGTCAACGGCGCGCCCACGGCCTACCAGGACCTGGTCAACCTGATCGAGGACCGGGACGGCATCCTAGCCAAGAACTACGAGAAGCTACCCAAGTCCCTCCAGAAGCTCGTCACCCAGCTGCCCACCAAGCTGTCGTCGACGCTGGCGCCGGAGCTGCTCGCCGTCGCCGCCGAGGCGCAGGGCCTCAACAAGATGGACGCCTCCGCCCAGGGCGGCCTCAAGGGCGCCGCCAAGTCCTTCCTCACGCCCAAGAGCCTGCAGGACCTGGTGACAAAGCCCGGAGCCGTGGCCGGGCTGCTCAAGAGCATCGTCAACGTGCTCAAGACGCGGTGGCCCGCCTTCATGGGTACCAACGTGCTGTGGAGCATTTCTCTCTTCTTGCTCCTCTCTGTCCTCTGGTACTGCCACAAGCGCGGTCGCGAGGTCAGGCTGGAGAAGGAGGCCGGAGAGCAGAGTGACCCTCTCTATGGAGTCGACCGTGTAGAAGAGCTGCCCGACGATCCCCTGCTGGAGGGTTCCAGCCGAGGCCAGAACAGTCTGCCTGCCACGCAAAGATCTGGGAAATCCTCGCCCGTGTTGCGCGAGGCCAGCAAGAAGAAGAAATGATGATGAGAGATGATGGATCCGATACTCCCTTAATGACGAAGGATAATGACTTGACAAGAACGAATCAACTACCAACGGTTTGGGTTTGCAATTGCGACAGGCGGGTGTTTATATAGAATGTGCACAGGTTTTGCACAGGTATTGCCCAAAAATTAATATAGTCAAATTGAATGCTGCAACGCTTTCTTCCCACCTGTATGTAGGATGTGCATGTGCCAGCGATCAGTGCCCGTAGCTCCCTATATGTCGGGATGTTCCTTTGTACATCATTTGATCATTACGCTTTTCGTACTAATATCCTCTTCAGGCAGAACTCCTGTACTTGTGACGCCGCCTTCGTGCTCCAGGAGCTGCTTGATCTCACCATCCTTGCTTCACCTGGAGTCACTGCCCAGAGCCAACGGATGAACCTCCTAGTCGTCCTGGACCAGCTCCTTGATCTCTTCTCTGCCAGGTGCAATACCGACACTGACATCGGCCTTCTCGTCTCGTCCGCCGGTGCGGTCAATAACCCTAGCACCGTCCTGCATCCAAAAGTCAACCTCGTCGACAATGTCAGCTACAATGTCCTCGGCGATCTGCTCTGTGTAACGCTCTGAGATGGACTTGAGCTCGCTTTGAGGCATTGGCGTGCCGCCGGCCGCTGCTGCTGCCTCGTCCGCTGTGTTCCCCATCTCTACATCTTCGCCTGGCTGAGTCGTGCTGGTGCTACCATAACCTGCAGGCGGATACCAGAAGTCGGGTCCAAAGTTCACCTCGGCGGCTCCTCCTCTGAAAACACTGATGGCGGGATAGTACCCGAGCATGCCGTCGTCGAGGCCTTCTCGTGCACCGACCTGAGCCTGTGGTTTCGATGCCGGCGGGAGGAAAGCCAAGAGATTCGTGAACGGCGTGCCCATTAGTACGCCGTTCTTGTAGACCTTGATGCATGAATTGGGCAGCGTGCGCAGTGTCGGTATACGATGCAGTGGGTTTGGCTCGTCCGAGTTAAGGGCAGAGCCAGATGCGCCAACAGGCGACGGATTCATAAGGTCCTCCAGCTCTTTGGTTGTATGGTAATCGATCTTCTCAAAGTAGATGTGTGCCTTGAAGCGGATTGGGATGCGGTCGCGCACGATATTGGGCCCCTCTGCCGTGGGCATATCGTCATCCGCAAGATCCACGGCCGGGTTGTAATGTCCTTGCACAACCTTGCGGTGGAGTTGCTCCGAAGGCAGCTGCATCTCCAGTCCTATCACATCGCCCTCCACGATGTCCTCGCCTGCAGGGAAGAAGTCCTTGGGCCGCGACATGTGCACCTTCTGGCCCTGGACGTCTCGTATACCGTAGCTGTACGCATCGAAACCCACGGGAGCATCGAGCGATGCTTCTCGTCTGGCGAAACCGAGGCGTACATGTCCATGCGACTCGACCTTGCCTCCGTCTTCCCGCTTCAATGTGCCTCTCGTGATCTTGCACTCCCAGTAATACCGGCCTTGCCGCACGGCTACGTTTGCTCTGGCCATTCGAAAGCCCTTGTCTGTCGTGATATGGCGACCCGACTGGTCGAAGAACATGTGGGTGGCGGCATCCTCGAAGCTGATGTGTGCGCCGTGAGGCTCGGGCTCGGTCTGGCGGTAGTAGAAGGACGAGGGGAACTGGGGATCGGCTATGCAGTGTAGATAGTGGAAGTTCTTCTTGTTGTAGACACTGTTTGCGCATTAGTCGGGGGTTCTGCGATTCGGCAGAAGCTCAATTGCGACTTACTGTTCCGAGGTCTCGTGGAACGCAATGGCCGAGCCATCAGATGCGCTCACATCGTGGTGATGGGTGAACACTGGACCGCGGGCGGGCTCAAAGTCTCCTGGCTTCGGAGGCGCCAACTTATAGCGCATGGGAGAGGAGTCATTGGGCAGTGTGTCCTTGGTGTTGTGCTTGCCCTTGGGCTCGGGAGTAGCTCTCGAGCTGCCTGGCTCAACTATTGTGACGCCCTTGGACTCTCGCTTTTTAAGCGTCTCCTTTTTCGTGCGCTTTTCTCGAGACATGGCTGGTATGTCATCATGCGATTGCGTCTTGTTCAGCTTCGGCTCTGGGTTCGGGTTCAAGGGCGACGAGACGGCGGGCACATGGTCGTCGTCCAGTGCCCGTTTCTGAGGCAGCGAACTGGCTGGATTGTTGGCCTGGGCATTGGCCGAGGGATTGGGGGTGGAATCCCTCTTTGGGGAGTCGGCGTCGGTCGCCATTGTGCCAGGAATATGTTGAAAATGTTTACAATGGCGTGGTTATAGCGAATATCTTGCGAGAGGAAAACCGGCCAACCAAGGTGGTCGCGGAAAGATGAAGCTAGAGTAGAGCTCGGTGGCACGTCGCATCGTGCTTTCCGTCACAGACGCGCCGGCCGCTACATTTTAGTGGATACCTTAAACCCCACACCATGCATTATTCTATGGCTGGCAACCGACAATTGCGGCTGCAGCGTTGCATTTGCGGAATGAATGACCTCGGGAGGCTTGCATAGGCAAAAATAGAGAACAAATGTGGAAAAAATGCAAAAAGAGAGGTGAACAATTCCTGTTTACAGGAACTAATGGGTATGCAATCCATCGACCATCACGGGACTCGAACCCGCAACCTTGGACTATTTCGTTCGTGATACGACCTGAAATAGGAGGTCCACGCGCTACCATTGCGCCAAACGGCCAGTTGTTTCTTTGGCCTCTTAAACGCCACCATGTAATAAGCGCAAAACGTGGCTCCACAAACTTTTGCTACCCGCTCCCGTCAACCCGTAGGTACGCCGGCGGCTTCGACATGGGATGGGGAACTTACCAGAATCTCGGAAATGATGCGTCTGCCAAATAGTCACTGTTGCATATCCTATGAAAGGTAAAGAAGTTAGAAGCAACCAATCCAATTACTTTGCATGTGTATGCTGTATACTATAGGGTTTGTGTTCTCTGTCCAGTTTGGAAAAGGTCCTTGATAGTACGGCGGGCATATGGATCCATTTTACTGACCATGGCCGTGTGAGAAGATGTTGCACTTCGCTCTTCAACACTTAAACGACCTTTGGTATTTTCCGAGTATTCGCGTAGGTAAATTGACTGAACCAACAAGTCATTCTAAATACCAACCAAAGAACGGCCGCCTCTTGAAAACTCATTTGCCGGAGTCGCGGACCGCCAACCTGGTTCGAATATTTTCACTAACAAGAGCAAAACTCTCTGTTTAAGTCATGATATATTTGACCCAAGTCTTATATTACGTTATGACGGAATCTTATGTCCGGGTGGGTAAAGAGCTTTGCTGAATCGTTTGCACAACTTAACATCATTTTGATCATGAATATGCTTTCCCCCTAAACATCGAACCTCGCCCAAGTGAACTTGACAGTCCACCAGCAATCCGAAACACGGCCCATCATCGTGCTTTTTGGGCAAGGCCTCTTAAACGCCATGATACTGTACACAATCCACCGTACATATGTAGCTGCAAGCCTGCAACCTGACCACCTAAACACACCGATGCACCAAACCCACTGCTACCGCGCCCCCGGCGGCGCCTCCGTCTCCGCAGACGGCATATAAAAACAGACCGCACTCGCATACTCCCCATCGTGACTGATGCTCACAGCGGCGACAACCGGGTCCGCGGACCCCTCGACCCGGACAACCGCCACCGGGGGACCGCTGCTGCTGCTCATCTGCTGATCCTGCTGCGCCGCGGGCTCTTCTTTCCGGCGCGAGGTCTTCTCCAAGCGGCGCGGCACGGGCTTGCCGCTCTCGATCTCGATATCACCGAAATTGAGCCTCTCCCGGTGGAAAGCCTTGATCACCGCCTCCTTCGCCGCGAACCTGCGTGTGGCTTCTTGTTTAGTCCGAGGCTGGCAGGCAGGCAGGCTGGCGTGCATCTGTGTGGCACCGAGAGGTACTCACCGGCCCGCCACATACTCTGCGGCTTTCCAAAAAGTTGGGTCTCTCCTCGTCACGTCCTCATTTGGCGGTACATAGATTGGCGCATCCAAGCCTGGTATGATCTTCGTCAACCAATCGTAATAATGCTCGAAGGCACCGTGCAGCGCCGTTACAGTTCTGGGCTGCTGGCGTTCTCGTGGCGTCAGAACGCGATTGATAAATCTGGGCCCGCGTTGAGATGTGAGGATTTTGTAAATTCTGGGAATGTGGCAGATGTCGTGTCCCAGCCCAATGGGCGGCATCATTATCCGATTCATCTCATAGAAGGCACTATAAATCAATTGCGGAAAGGCATGAGCAAGCGCCTGTCGTTACCGCATGTGGTTTGTAGTCGGAGAGATTGGAATCGCCTGAAGACTTGGTCGTGGGGACACTTTTCTTTAGTGGTGTCCAAAAACGCATGCAACGATAAGGGGATTTCAACCAATACAGTGGTATACTCCGTACACTGCACCATCTTCACTACGACGAGAGCAATAATCACAAAGCACAACATACGGGATATCTCTTTTTATTATTGCAATCAAAACACAATTACGCCGATTTTTTTCGGCTCACGAGAGAGCAGCGCAACTTTTTGCGGGCATTTGTAGTACTGAGAAATGCACCAATTTTGGACCTAATGCCAGCCAGAACGCCGTCCAACCATGACATAGGCTAAAAGTGACAGAGGCTGGACAGATACATCGCGGCGAGGGAAACATTTCGGTTTTCTTCGCAGCTGCCATAGAAGCCCCTAGAAGCCTGCTAGAAGCAGCGAAGATAGGTTGCGGGTTGACGAGGGCTTCCAATTAGTTGCTCTCGCCGTGAAGGAGAGGAGCACGCTCGGTATCGGCCTCCGCTTGTCTTCGCCAGGCAAAGTCCTTGCCGGTTGCGGCGGGAATCGCGATACCGACAGTGGCGACGAAGAGGACGGCCATGATGGTGAATGCAAAAATCCACTGGAAGGCAATAACTTGTCTGAGGAACTGGCTAACACCAATGGCCGCGGAGAGCACGCTGAGGTTGAATCCAATGGTGTAATCCTATATTAGTGGAGAAATTTAGTTTCCATATTACATGCCACAGGGATATCATTGCAAAGGGCCAAACTCACCTTGTAAGCGACAATGTAGAACATGCCATAAACGAGGATGGACCAGATGAAGATGTTGCCAAAGATTCGAGCAACCAACGAATCAGGGTGTGGCACCATAATGGCACCATTCCAGTAGATGGCCACGAACGTCCAAGCAAGAGGGCCGGAGACAACGGCTTCGTGGATGGCACGGGCGTAGGCCGGGTGGCGGAAGTAGAGAGACGTCAAGTTGGCAAAGTTGAGAATCAGGATGAGCTCAGCCCAGCCAAAGTAGCTCCGGACAAACAGCATGACAAAGGCAAAGTGGAAGAGGTTGTTGAGAATGAAGTGGCTGCCGACGGCGGCGGCGGCATTCAGGGTGTCGGCATTGCCCGACCAAAGATGAACGATGTAGACGGCCTGGAGAATGAATAGGACAATCCTGAATTGTTTCGATCAATATCATGATCCAGGCAGTACTAACGGGGAAACAGGCACAAATTCTACTCACCAGTAGATGCTGACAATGACACTGTTGAGTCGAAAGGCAGTGGGATAGAGATCATTCTGACCCCAGATCGTGTGCCAAGCAAAGGCGCCATCATGTGGGGCGTTGAAGGTGTAGTAGAAGCTGACGACGAGGGACAGAAGCCAGGTCAGGATGGTGAAGACCTTGTAGGCAATGATTGAGTTGCTGCTGTGGGAGTCGCGCTTGGCGAACGGGTTGACTGTAGAATTGTCGATTAGTACTTGCAATGCCAAATTGCAGTCACCGATGGTATGATGGGCGTGGTGCAAGAAACGAGGATATTGTTTACTGAGAGCTGTGGAGGGAGCTGACGACCAAACTTACCTTGGTGGACTCGCTCCATGGCGACGTGGGCTATCACACTCTGAGAATGCTCTGCTGGATGGATGTATCTGTTGAAGAGATGACCAATTTGCCAACTTCCTCTCGGTCTGACTGAAGATTGATGTAAAAGTCAGAGTGGCGGGAAACACAAGATCTCGGACGATGTTTATAAAGCGTCGGTTCGTGTCTCATGAATTGTACGCTCCTACTGGGCGGGGCGTGTCTGTCACACACACCTGAGGTGCTAAGGTATGGTAGGTACTAGGTAGGTAGCAACCTGCATGCGGACTGAACTTGCCTGCATTTGCGGGGAACTAGCTGCTCAGTGAACGGGCAGTGACGTTCGTCGGCGTCTTTCCAGAGCGATCGGCTAACCGAAAACAAGCTGGGGAGAAAAGTTGGAAGAAACATGCACACGAACTTGAGTCTGTTTTAGGGAGGTGAAACCACCAGTTCCTCTTATGTGATGGAGTCGAGTGCTGGTGGAATAAGAAGGGATTCCTGAGCTGGCTTCAGATTAGGTGATAGATAGTCCCATTCACTCGACCGTCTTTGCGACGATGTATAATCAACAGCACCTTACGAACCATCAATGTGCACATGGCGAAACATCTCGATGCTTGACAGCCGTTGTACCTGGCATTGGGGCAGACTTTAGCGGGTGATCTAGGCATGTACTCCCTGACCTTGTCTTAGAACTGTAGCAAGGTGATCTGTACATCATGTAGGATTTGTTACTGTACTGCGTTCTGTAGATGGAGTTGGATCATGCTCCGTATTGCTGTTCATAATATTATGGGCATCTATTGCCATCAATGCATTCTTTCCACACATTTTGCTGCTTCGTCTGCTTGGCAAACATGCAACGCACGACCTCGAAACATTCTGACAATACATGACGAGCTTCGTCATTTTTGGAGCAGAGAGGCGAATCAAGCGTGCCGCCTGCATCACAGCCGAAGGAGGCACGGGCAAGGTCACAGGGCCATCTTCAGACGGTATCATTAGTGGGCGTTTGGCGTTTGGGACGACGCCCGGAACACACCAAGTTTGCAGGGGACCACAGCGCTAGGATATGTACTGCCTGAGATCGTGTACGCTATCTGTATGGGGAGGCGCTTCTTCTATTTTCGGACACTTTCGTTGGCTACGGGCTGGTTCTCAGTTCAAATCCAAGCCCAGCATGCCGCGTATCACCGTGTGAACGACCTGGGTGGAATTGGGCAATTTATATTGCAGATCGAGATTGCCCATTTCATGTTTCATGGATCACGGGGCGTACTCGAACTGCTGTGCCCCGTCCCTTCGAGTAGTATGTATGTGATTATGTGACGTCCTCTCGAATCGAACGTGGTAATTATAATTTTGAATCAGAGCAATCTTTCTTTTCTTTTCGGATCCCATGAGTACAGAAGAGATCAATCAACATCCGGCCGATGCTAGCGGAGAAGAATTGACGGGTTTCTTGTTCAGCTCCCAGACAAACCAAGATCCAAGTATCGAACAATACCGTATGCAGACCAGGAGGTATTCCTCCGGCCGTGATCCACCGTCCTCCAAGCTCCTGCTCGCTTGCGTAGGATTTTTATGCGAATGCGCCTCTTTCTCACTGCGGGGGAATTTCCGGTCACCTGAAAAGCAAACAAGCGCGAAGCTGCCAACATGTACCGTACGTATATTGCCATAGGTAGGCATCAGCGATAGGCTGGCTTGAGATCTCGTCTTCCTTTGCCACCCTTGGCATGAGCAACGTGAATTTGATTGACACAGGGCAGCTGGTAGATCACTGGTTGCCAGAGTTGCATGTCTCTTGATCG